TTCCTTTTGTACAGTTGCAAGATAAGGATGTGATTACTGCATGCCCCACGATTAAAGGCCAGCAGTTTACTGAACACACTTTGTCAGGGGTAGCAAACAGTCTATACTGTACATGTCACATTTACTGTACATTTTGAAAAAAGTCCTCCTGGTTAACAAACTGAACAGCTTGTTTACCCAAAAAAGTGGGAACATGAAGGTGAGTAAGTGATGATAATTTTGTAGAAAGTATCTTTACACAACAATGGCAAAAAAAAGTACAAGGGTGAGTATTGTCCATATGACTGGTGCACAATACTCACACAAAGCTATTATACAACTTCAGTAGACCATAACGCACAAGTCACATGAACTATTTTATGACACTCTTAAGGTTTTTCGAGCTTGGAATTTAAAATAACTATACACTTTATTGTTGAAAAGAGCCACTCGGTCATTATGTCTAAAGTCACTATTTCATTTCTTATGATAAATGACAGATGAAAGGCCCTATGCGAATGTGAAATTTCAAGATGCAGTTTGAGCTTTATATGCATTAAAATATGCTCTGCATTGTAATATCCTGCTTCTTCTGTATTAAAGACAGTGAGAAAAAAACTGTTATTTAACACTTTAGCTTTGGCAACATCTTATATGTTCCTTAAAGGGGTCATATAATGCTGCTAAAAAGAAAATTATTTTGTGTATTTGGTGTGATGAAATGTGTTTATGCAGTTTAAAGTTAAAAAAACACATTATTTTCCACATACTGTACATTATTGTTTCTCCTCTATGCCCCGCCTTTTTGAAACGCTTTTTACAAAGCTCATCGGTCTGAAAAAGCGAGGTGTGCTCTGATTGGCCAGCTATCCAGTGCGTTGTGATTGGCCGAATACCTCAAGCGTGAGACGGAAATGTTACGTCCCTCACATACTGCTGATGCCGTGTCCCAGCCGGAACGACGAGACAAAAACATTAAAACCCATTACAAACGAGGCATTTGTTGCATCCAGTGGGGACATAATTACTGATTATAATGACTTATACTGTCTTTTTACGCGTTGCACTGCATCGCGCCGCGTAAACATAAAACTCCGTCTGCGCATTTGTGATCAGAGAAATGACAAACAACAAGTGCTACTCTAACACTGCCCAAAACTTGCGTTTGAATCATCAGTGGCAAATCCTTTAAATGAAAACGTACTTACAGACTGTGAGTCAGAACTGCCTTTAGTCTAACGTTTCCCACATTGTGATGTAGACATGTGGGGGCGTGTTAGAATGAGCCGTTTTAGGTAGGTGTGGCTGACTCTGAACTTTTATAAAGAATATCTCTTTGGATTTGAGACTTTAGTCTTTGCAACTTTACAGATCTTCTTTATGCACCAAGAGCTTGTAACACTCCAAAGAGAAAGGAAAAATTGAAATCGCATCATATGACCCCTTTAAAGTATGACAGTGCTCATTTTTATAAACAAGTTGCTATTAATTATTCATTAATTTTATGATTATCAATCAAAGGGTAAATGCAGTTACTTTCATGTTTTTTTTTCTGGAAATGTAAAGAGAAACACAGTAGCGTCACAAATTGAAATTTCATTGCTACTGCCACTAGAGAGTGAATTGCTACAGTCGTATCTGGAAATACCAGACCTGAAAGGCAGTTTAAAATTATAGTTCACCCAAAAATTGTTTGGTGAATTGTTCAACATTTAGTCACAATGTTGATTACCCTCATGTTGTTCCAAACCTGTATGTATTTTCTTCTTCTGCTGAACACAAAAAAAGGTATTCTGAAGAATGTTTCAACTGTTATTGTTTGTACAATGAACTTCAAAGGGGTCAAACACAACACTGGAAACTGACTTTCATTGTATAGGAAAAAAAAAAAAGACAAGTCTCACAATGACATTAGGGTGAATAAATAATAAATTAATTTGGGCAATGTTTCAAATAAAAACATGTTTCAAACAAAAATTTGAGTACAAGACAATTTAGATGAAAAAAAATGATTTACTATATCTCTGTTCAATGGAAGAGCAAGTCTGAACTTGCAAAGTGGAAAGCCCTGTGCACATTCCTCAGCTCTCCCTGGGCTAAATTATTTGAGTAACGGTATACAGTAACTGTAGAGAATATAAAGAAAATATTAGACTACCAAAAGCAAGCCTGTGATTGTCTGTCTTTGAAGATCTGGGATGATCAGTCATCTGGAGGTGATGATTTTGAGCATGATGAACACAATGAAAAACCTCTGATCAGACATTTAAATTAGTTATTAGGATGGACTAAATTCTTGTTTTCCAGCAGACATGCCATGACACGGTGCGCTACAGTGTCTACATATTTGATATAGATCTACAGGTAAAAACATGTTAAAAGCATTTAAAATGTTGTCAAACAAGCCACGAAAGGACAGAAAGAGGACAAGAGACTGGAACTATAAAGAAACCATGCAAGAATTACAATTTCTATTTTGTTATAGGCCTATGTATTTTGAGGTTGGGTCCAGGTGGTTTCATCTTTAAACATCTAGTCATGCAGTTCCTACTTCTCTCTTCAGCAGATGTTTGTGGTCCAACAGAATTTCCAGACTCTTCATGTGTTTTAAAATAGTATCACAACTATAGCGTTAAGGTGTTATTCAGTGCTCTAAGGCTTTAATACACAACACTTGGGCACAGGAAATTACTATCTTTCTTGTATTTTTGCCACGGACTTCTTAGTTCACGGTGTGGCCTTTCATGTAAGTTACATTGTGTTTACTTTCAACGCATAAGTAACTGACTCTTCTATTGTCACGTTGCATTATCTGAAACCGCTTTGAATCCATTTCATAACCGCTTCCTCAACATTAAGCAATTCACAAAGACAAAAGAAAAACGTCGCTCGAATTACAAGGCGCCGTGAGGTTTTTTGTAAACAGACATGTAGCATATAAGGTATATCGTCTCGTGACAAAAAGTATCAGATAACAACAGTAGTTAGTGACTGAACCCGTTTAATTCCCTCTGGGCATTACCTTTACTATAGATTTTGATTCAAAACAATGTCTGATTCACAACAGTTAGGAGGATCCAATATTTTCTTACCTAACAGATAACAGATGAGTGCACGTCCTCCAGAAGCGCTCCATCGACCTCAAAACACAGTGACTCTTTCTCTTCTGTGCCGTGTGTTCCAGCACTTCACGCGTTTCGCTTTTCTTTCATTCACATTCAGCAGGAGAATCCGGATCTTTCGGAACTAACTTGAAAAATGTTTAACCCTGTAAAAAAGTATTTTAATTGTAATGTTACGTGTAGTAAGTTGCTAGTATGCTTAAGTTGTGTTTACGAAAGAGAACTAACGTTAGTGATACTAGGAAGCCCGGGCTCAATTTCTCCTCCCTTCCTGCTGCGCTTCCTACATGACGTCGAGTTGGAAACTGGGAGAGTTCCCCATTCATTCTACAGCCACTGGATCACAAGCCCAGCTCACACACTTCTATAACTTATTTGCTTGATTTTGCTTTAAGGTATGGCCAAAAAATTTACACGATAAAATGTTTCATATCAGTCGATATCGATAATTATCACGACAAATTTCATATCTTTATTTCTAAGTTTAAAGGCAGATTTTTGCACCTAAGTGAAAGTTGCAGAAATCAGACCGTTAGCTGTGGTTTTAAACTGCTCTTTATTGTCAGAACATGACAAACACTTCACATTTTTTTAAATCTTTACACTTTTCCAGTCATTTTTCCTTAAGTTTCTGCATGTTCTAATGAGGTTTGTATTGCCTGACTTTGCCGCGTATCTGCAGCAAAGTTTGCACTGTAGGCTGCCATATTTATAATATTACTTTTTTTGTCTCTTAGAAATGCACATTTGACAGTAGATTGAGTTAGGATGCATATGTACATTTATGTTCAAAGGTATTTTATTTAAAACAGTAGCCAAATACAAGTTATAGCTTAATCATAAAAAATACTGTAATTATATTCCAGTACTCCTTTAATACATTTAATACATGTCTACATTAATAATATAAGAAAATTCAATGAATATCCCACATTTTTGCCACAATACCATGGTGCAGTTAGTGACACTTCACATTTTTTTAAATCTTTACACTTTTCCAGTCATTTTTCCTTAAGTTTCTGCATGTTCTAATGAGGTTTGTATTGCCTGACTTTGACGCGTATCTGCAGCAAAGTTTGCACTGTAGGCTGCCATATTTATAATATTACTTTTTTTGTCTCTTTGAAATGCACATTTGACAGTAGATTGAGTTAGGATGCATATGTACATTTATGTTCAAAGGTATTTTATTTAAAACAGTAGCCAAATACAAGTTATAGCTTAATCATAAAAAATACTGTAATTATATTCCAGTACTCCTTTAATACATTTAATACATGTCTACATTAATAATATAAGAAAATTCAATGAATATCCCACATTTTTGCCACAATACCATGGTGCAGTTAGTGTTACTACAGTAAATCCATGGTAAATAATGGCGATTTGTAGATTGAAAAGCCTTCTGACTGTCTCATTGCACTCAGTGTTTCTCCTGTTTGTCAGCGGAGTTTTACTGGCTTTAAACTAGTTTAAATCAAATTTGTGTTCTTCGCTGAATTCATATCCATCATATCCATCTCCAGTTTCAGTCAGGTCCAACCTCTACTGCTTATATTCTGAGTTCTCAACAGATCCTAAATTTCTAAATGCTAAATTCACTAGTTTCAAGAGGCTACAGCATGTCACTGGATAGCTGTGACATAGCATGTCACTGCTTCAGAAACCCCAGTGAAAAATTATTGCAAAAATACACTCTGCTGTCTTCAAAAAAAAAAAAAAAAAAGATAAACCCAAAACGGTCTTATTGTTATTTTAATTACAAATCCAAATTGCAAAACCAACATTCATAAACAGAACATCAGCTATATAAACAGTACTGTAAATGTTAATTTATTCCTTTAATGGATAGCAGAAGAGTTGAAATAACAACGTGGAAAAACATGATCAGGACACAAATCAGTATATCACTATGTAAATGGTGTATTTAATTGTATACCGTACATTGATTTTGATTGTCGCTACAAAAAAAAAAAAAAAGCAAGAAAGAAAGAAGACATTCCTGTCAGAGTGTCTTAAGGCATGATTTTAAGAGATATTAAGATGTCTGAAATTATTCATTATTCAGTAAATAATCATATCAAACTCAAACGTTATTCAGAGTAGGCATACTGCAATATTCACTTTCAGTATTTCATTTTAAGTTTGTGACTCAGAGAATTGGAAATGTATCCAAATATGGTCTCATAATTTCAGCTATTTGAATCTGAAGCATCATGGGTATGTTTATTGTAACATTACATCCTCTAAGTAAAACCAAGTAAGCAAATATTACAAACTACCAGGAATCTATACAATTACAAAAAGCAATTTAAGTGGTTTAACTTGAAATTATCATTCAGTGCACAGAAAAAGCAATCATGACTTACTGCTTCAAATAATTAGAAGTAGGCATAGAATCATATCCATTAAAAATTAAATATAATCACTTCACTGACAAGTTCCTTTTCTACAGTAGATGATTAGAAAACCCAGTGGTGGTGGTGGAGAGGAGAGCTATAGGTATTAGTTTTCTTGGACAGATTCTTCCCTTTCTCCCATAAAGGCACTTCTTACAGCTTGGACCGTAGTGGCTTTAGGTACTTGTGGTGGGACTCGTGCACCTAAAAAATAAATGAATGAACGAGTGACTGAAAGGTTCCTCTGAAATTATTTAACATGCATCACCATAAATGAATACAATACACACATCGAATGCATTGAATACACACCTCAGTATGGTTCAGAGGTGACCTCTTGGCCCACTCAAACATGTGCTCATAGACATTGCCATCATATCTCCCCAGAGTAGAGTTAAGCATCTCATCACGGTAGTCAAAGGCATCAACCAGAGCCACTGCATTGGGCCTTAGCTCTGAGAGAAGACCCTTCAGCCTCTGTGAGATCTGAGCCAGCTGAGGAACAGTTAGCAGACCAGCCTGACAAAGAAAAAAAAAATTATCAGGAACAGCTGTTCCTAGAACACATATGCTAAATTTGAAGTCTGTTTATCTTGAAAAATATATGTCTCCGAGTCAAACTTTTTTGTCCATTTTACCAGAACAGAAAGACTGCACATGGGTTTATCTGCCTCAAATGATTTTTTTGTCAACTTTCAGGAGTACGCTAGCATATACAGTAAACTGCTCAAAGTCATAGCAGATACAGACTAGATATCACAATTTTGATAAAATGTGTCTAAAGTTTGTACTGAGTGGCAGGAGTCAAGAGAGTGCATACAGCAATCGAGTCGTCATGCAAACATGCACACTCTCAAAGTTCATTGTAACTGCCCTAGTCATGCTGACATTTTACAACATAAATTGAACTGAAGTCAAGTCTATTCTATTTGTGACTAACACCTGTAAAAATATCGATAGATGGCAATGTACAAAACTGCAAAATCTTACCACATTTGACAAATCTTAATTGAAGTGTGATTTCATCAGTCACATTTTAATGAACATGCTTTTATACCTCAGTAAAGAGTGGAGCATTTGAGTCCCGTGCAGACTACAAAATTGACGGGAGCAGCAATGGAGGACAGCGACTGGATCTAAACCTTCAGATGACACAGATCATTATCTGCGTCTCTGTAAGTTTACGAAACCATGAATACCTGCAATTCGCGTATGTGCAGCGCAGAGCACATCTCTCTGTATAAGTGACAGAAAACTAGTTGTCCAATATGGTTGTGTTCACAAAGCAGGGCTTCACTGAAAATACAGTTGTGCATTCTGAAAATGTATGGGTGTGAGTTATAAAGTGCAGTTGTCACTCCTGTATATAACGGACATGTGTACAAAAGCAACCATATTAGTACTGACAGCTGTATTCTTCCACTGTCTGACCATGGTCAAAGAGTGTCAGTGTGGGACCACGGATGACATGTTACATGGGAAAAGAAATTTAGAATCTGCTACAGATGTGTGCAAGCCAAATTTTAAAAACTTGCCAAAATATTCCTTTTTCTGTACTACTAGCTAATATAACCAGACAGTAAAATGTAATTTTGTAGTATAATGTAATCTAATGTTTTTTTAAATAAACGTAATATCACTCACTTTATTAATGTTTTTACAGTACAGTTGTGCAGTTTTGGAGGATTTATGATATTTTTGTACTTATTTGCCTAAATTTGTAATCATTGTGATATATATATTTATATAAAATGACCACTAATTTACTTTAGAGAAGATCTACATTTCTCAGTTTCATTCATGGTGATAACATAAAAAGTGTGCTTTTGTTAGTGGAAATTGCTGTCATCTACTGGAAAACAAATACTTTTAAAATTAAAATAACATGAAATTTAAACTACAGCCACTAGATGGCTGCAGGGGATTATTCAATGGCTCATGTACCATTCACAAGTTTTTCACTTAGATTTATGTTTAGACATTATAAAATAATTTTTATAACAAAAAAGTACTTTTTTTTTCAAAATTTAGAAAGAATTTGATGGAATGTTTGGGTTTAAATCAAGACATTAAACTTGAGTTTAGCTTACGTATCAGAAGAAACTTCAAGTTTTTTGCCTCACATGTTAGCTCTTGAATCTCTTAAGCCCCCCCCCCAAAAAAAAAAACCTGTATTCAGTTGTGTTGTAGGCACTAAAACAGTCCAGTACTTATGTTAAAATAATGAAGATTTCTGTGCCACCCCAAACTAGTTGCTGGCGCCTGCCTGGCCAACCCTCTGAAAATATCCTGGCTCCACCACAGTGGGTTGGGCAAATTTTAAAAACTAAATGTGTTTTACACTGTATAGTATAACCTGTAAAAAGTCTCCAGAGCTCAGTGCGACTCCATGAAGGGCATAAAGCAGAGCCAAAGTGCTGAGCACAGAGTGGACAGCCGTATCCCCAATCTCACTCAGTTTTGCAGCAAACAGCTTCACCACCACATAATGACAATGGGCCTGTAGAGGGACAATAAAGAGGAATATTAGTCAAAACAGATCTCCAAAACAATTTCTACACTGCTGAATCTGTACAAATCATCAGTAATTGAATGATTTAATAGGTTTTGTATACTGAAACAATTAAACTATGTTTACACTGTCGGCCCAAATCCGATTATTTGTATCCGATTGAAATCTGATCTAAATGACTGACTGTCCGCACTGTATATTGTAACTGTTCAGATCCGATTAATGTGTCCCATGGCGTGCTTTCGTTTTATGGAATATTGCATTGGTTTCTATAGCAACAATGTTGTGTTGGTATGCCTATGCCAAAAAACAACAACAGCAAGGGTTTGCAAGATTTTAGCTGCATCCCAAATGACGCACTATACACTATGCACTTATACACTATGTACTTATGCACTATGTACTCAACCATGTAGTGTATGAAATATATACATTTATTTTGTCATTCATAATCGGAGTATGATAGCCCCTCCCCCTTCGGAACGTAATTAAAGCTGTGACAGTTGAGTGCATGAAGTGTTCAACATTCCACACTTTGTTTTTTTCAGTTATTTAAGTGCATAATTACTGTATCGGTTACCTTGTCAGTGTCGTGCGCTTTGCTTGGCCATTTGTTGGGATAAACAGGAAAGTGTGTTCAAGCGCCAGCAAAACAGTGTAAAGAAATAGTCTTTGTGAGAAGCAGTCAATCAGCAGAAGTTAAAAGCAGCTTGTAAGTGTATTTATTTCTTGTCTCAGTGTTTAGCGCAGTTGTCGTTGCTAGGAAACACTTGTTTTGTTTACTGTGTCTTTTTTATTTGATTTCTTTTATTTTCTTAAATGTGTGTATATATATAGTATTTATAGAGTTTTAGCTTTTAGTTTTAATTACTTTTTCTTATTTGTAAGTCGCTTTGGATAAAAGCGTCTGCTAAATGACTAAAAGTAAAGTAAAAGTAAAAGTAAAAGCATAATCCGGGTATTTAAAGTGGACTTTTTCTTTTTGGAATTTTCAGCGTGAAGACACTACTCGCACTATTTATACTACAAAACGTCATAGAATAGTGCATAAGTACATGATTTGGGACGACCTTTTGTCTAACAACATGACAACATGTTGCTGTTGCACTGGATTATTATGTCTTATGTGTCAGCAGAAATGTAGGAAGCTGGAATTTGCAGCTTTATTCCCTGTTGCCGTCTCTGCCGGTTTCAAAACTCAAAGAGGTGTGTAGACCAGCAGTCTATTGTCATTTTCCGCTCGACTCGCACTTTGCAACAACACAAACTTGTTTATATAAAGACATTCAGTATGTTTTCTACAAACACTACCTGACAGGTTTACATTTTACGTGGCTTGAGAAAGTGCATAGCCAAAAATCCAATCAGAGTGGTCAGACTGACATGGATTTCCAGAAATACGATTTGTAAACATTTGTAAAAAAAAAAAAAAAAAAAAAAAATAAATGTAAAATAAAACTAAATATTTTAAATGCCCCCCAAATATTCCTAAATATGATCGGATTCCACTATGAACAAAAATCAGATTTTGAGTGACAGTCTGAACTGGGCTCTGATTAACAGTTACAGTAAAAAATAAAAAATAAAAATTGCATTAGCACAGGGATGTCCAATCTTGTGACAGTTGAACTAAAAAAATGGTGTCTGAAAGTTGAGGGTGATCTGTTTGTGTAAATATATGATTTTAAACAGCCTTTTCAACTTCCGATTTAATTTCTAGTGAGAAATTAGTATTGTAGTAATTAAACATTCGCTTAGTTATCACCAATGCTTTTTTCTATTTTGTTATAGATCATCAGACTGTTATGCTGCCTCAGAAGTCTCTCCGAAATCAGTTTCTGGAGGTACCCGCAAACTTGAACGCTGCCTGTGCAGCCTGATAGGGCAGGTAGGCAACAAGTCAGCTACCTAAGTTTTTGGACGCAACTCATGTCCTGAAAACCCTTATTATCTTAGTTTAATTGTGTTTAATTGGGATTGGAGCTAAACTCTTCAGGACAGTGGCCCTCCAGGACCAGGATTGGACACCCCTGTATAAGCATTATAGGTTAATTTTAAGAAGCCTCACATCAGATGCTCGGACTAGATCAATGGAATTGTTGTTCCAGGCATCCTCATTGCTCTTGCTGTGCTGTAGCTCCGCCTGCAGGTTCTTAGCTGCCATTTCAACTAACCTGTGAGCATTTTTCAAAAACATTCTCAAGTCTCTGCAAACATTTGATGTGCTATGTGAGCTCAAGGTTTTAACAACGTTATAAATTTTACAACCTATGTTGACCAAAAAAAAAAAAATGTTTTTCTGGATCCAACTTACTTCGCAGCTCTGAATTTGTATGCCTCCACAAGGCTGGCCAGGTCATTAATATTGACGACAGTGGGCCGAGAGGACACAGAATGGGGCTGTATCCTGCTCTGAGGTTCGTTCAGGTAAGAAACAATGCCAGTCAACTGCTGACCTGCCCGTGCTTGTTTGTAGCTCTTCACCAAATACCTAATCAACAGAAAGCGTTAGGTAATAAAAGTAGTACAAATCAATCAGTTCATTGAGATACACCTTTTTAAACCCTAGTGAGGCAATTATTTCTTAGATTTCTGTAAAAAAAATTTGCATGCTAAAACAATGGATTTATTTGGAAAAATTCAGATGGTAATTGCTCTACTGGTCAAACGTTTTATAAGTTATTAATAAATTACTTGTTTCCTAAAAAAACGTTCTTTGGTAACCTTGTTTCTTTAACCTGTGGCAGTTTACGGCTTACATTTTAGGTACCCTTTTTGGCTTATTTACTGAACTTGGAAAAGAAAATGAAAACTGCTTAATTTGGAAACTAAAAAAAAAAAAAAAGGCATTCTAGAACTTTTGACCAGTAGTGCAATTCACTGAGAACTAAGGAGTTCTGTTGTTGGATGAACAAAAGAAAAAAAAATCTTTGCTTGACACTTCTGTTGATGCAATTATAATGTCCTATTTTGGCAATTTACAGAGTTTTATTTTCCTTTATTTCCTTTCTTTATTTTCCTTTCTCTTATTCTCCCAGTCACTAATTATTTAGAAGCTGTGCATGTTAGGGTTCTGGGGCTAGATCAACCCTTGTTACTCTATTTACAGTATGTCTGTTTTTCTGCCTGTCTGTATCATTTTTAATTTTAATATATATCAGCCAGCTCTCTCTCTATAGACTCTTCAGTCAAGTACAATCTTTAATACAAGCCTCTGTTATACTCAAAATGCAAAAATACGGGCCAGGCCAGACTACTCTGGAGTAAATTTTTCACACTACCCTAAAAACAGCAAATAATTTTATCCAAAATCACACCATATCCCCTTAAGAAATAATTACCTTTTGAATTGGGCTATACATCTTAAACATAACATCTATTCAGATGGAACTAGTTTTCCTTAAGGTGGTTAGGTAAGTTTGCGTCTTGCAGAAATACAATGTGATTTTAATCCCATCCAAATCAAACACATCAATGTTTTTCTCCTAAAACCTCAGAAATGACAGAGAAAATTACCTCGTCTTCCTTATTTACCTAACACTTCTCATTTATTTTGATGTTATATACAATAACATCCACACAACAGACACTACAACCTTAGTAAAAAATACAGAGTTGCCAATCATGCCTGTTTGTTTCTAAATGCCATGCCCAGCTTCAAACATTAATTTTAATTGTGAAACCCCAAATCGCTGCATGAAGTCACAATTTTGAAAATGAATTCCATCCAAATAGTGCTGATGTCTGAAACAGTTCAGGTAAACAGGTGTTTTTTTACCTAGCTGTCTGCAGCATCATAACCGTATTCTCTCCCTCATAAGTGCAGGTCGGTGTAAAGGTGACATAGATGTCAGGTAAACTGCTGCAGCGGGAATAACCATGACCACCACATGACATGCGACAAACCTCAATTCCTGCATTTGCCACCCAGGTGGTAAAAGCTTTCAGACCTGCAGATAGAGCATGCAGCTACAGAAAGAATAAAGAGGAGAAATACAAAAAAAAATCTATATAAATCAATAAATCAAGACAATGACATTGAGCTACAAAGCATATGCAAGCACATAAAACTCATGAACGTGTATAAAATATTATTTTTTAAGAACATATTTCTGCATACCTCTGGCAGCTCACTGAAGTCACCCTGATTAATGTCTCCTGAGATGCGATGGTATGTTTTACTCATGTATTGCCCCACAAAGTGGAAGGCATAGGCAGTGGCCAGCAGAGGGAAGAGTTTATACTGCTGAGCCTGATAGTCTAGGATCTGTGGCTCTGGTTCCCTAAAATAAAAAAGAAAGTTATTTAAATCACCTAAAATACACACACACACACACAAATATATATGAGCAAAAGTTTCAAAGAAAAACCCAACATTGTATGTGGATGTGTTTGTGAGAGAGAGACGGAGACCCACCCTGGGCGTAGTTCAGACTGGTGTCGGACTGCACTATAACGAATGGCGATAGTGCAGGACTTGGAGAGAGCTCGTGCGGACTCCCCCACTATCATGGAGCGAATAAACACCATGGTGCCATATGTGAGCTTATCACTAGGAGGCTTCACATACGTACCATCCGGCTCAACCTACACAAGCACACACACCACAAAGCTTTACTGACAGAATGCACTTGAGCTGGCATAAACACCGTGTACACGAAGCGCTGACCCAGCTTATGTCAGCATGATTTGTGAATATTCCAGTGAAAAAAGACAATTTAGCATGAATAATATCACAAATTTGCATTTAATAGATTTAATAGAAAAATCTTTATAAAAATCTTATGTTATTTATTTTTTTGTCACAACATTTTGTTGCTAAAATTCAGTTTATTTCCAGGTTTAAATTAGATGTTGTCTCTTGTATTTTGGAACCCAGTTAATATAGTTTAGGTTAGAAAGATTTATTAATTCCTGTGAAGGGAAAACTCATCTGCCACCATTTCAACTGTACATTACAAACAATACAAAACAGTTCAACAGCACATTCTTAAAAAAAATAATAATAATAAAAATCAAACAATATGATAATTATAAGGCTTCATCAAAAAACCTAACTGAAGTAGCAAACACAAATGAGCAAACATAATTGAAAACTATTTATAATTATTTAGAAATCTTCCTCGAGTTTGTTAATAAACTCTAAACACAAGCACAAACATAAATTATTGTAAACTTTTTTTGTCTTTCAATGTGGGCAGGATCTGCTCACCTTGGCGTACTTCATCAGCATATTCTCACGTGGAATCCTGACATTTTCTAGTTTCAAGTAGCCATTATCCACCTCATCAAAACCAAATTTGGGGCCAATATCACCGACCACTACACCTGTTCAAACACAACAGATCTGAAAACGGAGGCTTAAATATTGAGAACTACATTCTGTACACATACATACAACAAACAAATCAGATTACTAAACAAATGATGAAACATCTAATCGTCTAAATGTAGAGCTGTCAAATTGAAAACAAAAATTCAGTTTACATTGTATAAACATTGTCAAGGCAATAAGACTTGAATAATAATAATAATAATAATAATAACAATAATAATAATAATAATAATAAAAGTAAAAGTTCTTTTCAAAAGTTCTTTTGGCGGTTTATACTGTTTTAGACTGTCAATTACTGTTTGACATGCGGTACTCTCACGTTTATATATAGATATTTGACTAGAAAAAGCTAAGGGTGTGTTCTTTCCAGTTCACCAAGTTTAGAAAATTTAGTGGAGTGATAAGTCCTTAGAGGATTTGTTTTATTTGTGAAATTAGCGCCTTTCACCACCATCTCTTCCTCTTGCAAATCCAACAAATCACCATGTACAGGTGCATCTCAATAAATTTGAATGTCGTGGAAAAGTTCATTTATTTCAGTAATTCAACTCAAATTGTGAAACTTGTGTATTAAATAAATTCAATGCACACAGACTGAAGTAGTTTAAGTCTTTGGTTCTTTTAATTGTGATGATTTCGGCTCACATTTAACAAAAACCCACCAATTCACTATCTCAACAAATTAGAATACTTCATTGAACTTTTCTTTTTCAACTGGTGCCATAAAAGTGTAATTTGGCTTTAAAATTTAAGATTGCAACTACTAAAACATCAAAACTTACAAACATACAACTCTTAATCTGCAATACAGCATAGTTTGAAACAATATCTTTATGAAGGGGTGGATTTCTAATCCCCTTCTCATCTAGAATATGATGAATACATAATCATAATTCTCTTAAAACAAGTGAATCTGTTCTGGTAATTATGTTACTAGCAATGTCTTGTATTTGGTATCTGGGAGGTGACTGGGGGTCTGACCCATGTCAGGAATACAGTAACAGTGTTTACTCATTTAGTGCGGCTTTCTAGAGAATAAATATGCATTTGTTTTCTAACAATTCATTTGAATCATTATATAATCAAATGTTGTATACGATTATATGTTGTTTTGTTCTGTGGTTCTCATAAGAGCTGTATATGAGACATGTAAAAACCAACTGTGCCTAGGGCCAAGAAGGTCACTAACGCACAACATATATTCACTAACTCCTATGTATGTTTAATGTGTATGATTCTTTTTGGAGTTTAAAGCACTATTAGGTGCCATAGGTTAAACTACAAATCATGTGTAGAAGTTTGTATCAGTGCTCTGTATGAATGTATTGTTCTGTTCCAGTAATGTGCTGCAGCTCAACCTTGAAGAGAAAAGATATTGCCTATGTTTTATCTGATGGCGTATTTGATCAAACAATCGTTCCATAATCTGATGATTGTGTAATCACTGCAGTCCATCTAAATAGTCTTAAAATCATACATATCAAAAAACAAGCAAATCCTCACACACATGGTCCAATCTTTCTCCACATATATCATCATACAACTATACCCACTCAAGATTCTGTACCTGGCAGTGGCATGTGTGTCTTCATACAGCGAATGGGAGTGATGAAGGCATGTAGGCCATGACACTTGCCCTGCGTGTACAGCTGAGCCAGGACTATAGCATGATTTGAGGTTTTACCCACTACAAAGACAAATACAGAGAACAAATTAATAATTATAAAAAATAAACATTATGTAATCAGTTGCACACAGTGCCATCTTATATTTAACATAAAATGATGTGATTTGAACATAGCTTACTCACATCCACCTGGCCACCATTTAATAGAGGAGATTGTTGGACTGTTCAAAACAAACTCTTGGGTGGAAGGGTCGTAAGTAGCAGTGGTTTCAAGACCACGGATGTGTGTACCTAAATAGATGTAATACATGCAAAACAACACAGACAACTGTTACTACAGATCTAATACAAGTAAATCAAAGTGAAATTCATTCATATTTAAAACAGTTCCATTATTTAAACAAATTTCTGGGACTGAGCAAATGAACATGAGGAAATACAAGCTCTTATCTTGTTAGTGGCTCAGTGTAACAGTATTCATAATTTTTCAGTTAAAAGAGCATGGTTAAGGTAACCCTTGCAGGTGTCTGACAGCAAAAAAAACAAAAAAAACTATCAACAAACCTTTTTTTGGTAACATGATTTATGTTTTAGTTTTATACAATTTGTTTACTGTAAGTAAATTACTCAGTTATAAGTGAACTCTATCTTGCATTGCCGCTCAGTGTAAATTCTTAATCTGCAAAACATAGTTTGAAACAACATATTTATGAAGGGGTGGATTTCCAATCCCCTTCTCATCTAGTATATGATGAATACATAATCATAATTCTCTTAAAACTAGTGTATCTGTTCTGGCAATTATGTTACAAGCAATGTCTTGTATTTGGTATCTGGGAGGTGACTGAGGGTCTGACCCATGTCAGGAATGCAGTAACAGTGTTTACTCATTTAGTGCGGCTTTCTAGAGAATAAATATGTATTTGTTTTGTAACAATTACTTTGAATAATTATAGAATTGAATGTTGCATTTTATAGAAAAAGTGCTATCAGGTTGAACTTTGTACTTATTTATTTTATTTTGTGGTTCTCATAAGAGCTGTATATGAGACATGTAAAAACCAACTGTGCCTAGGGCCAAGAAGGTCACTAACGCACAACATATATTCACTAACTCCTATGTGGTTTAATGTTTATGATTATTTTTGGAGTTTAAAGCACTATTAGTTGCCGTAGGTTAAACTACAAATCATGTGTAGAAGTTTGTATCAGTGCTCTGTGTGAATGTATTGTTCTGTTCCAGTAATGTGCTGCAGCTCAACCTTGAAGAGAAACGATATTGTCAATGTTTTATCTAATGGCTCCAAATGTTACTTGCCACTGCATAAAACAATACAGACAGAGATGATAGTGAGGAGTTAAAAAAAATATCTGGTAAGGTTTTAGAAGTGTAGATTGTACACACACATGATGTCATGTGTCAATTCACTTTGTTAAAGACCAGTTCTCTCCTTTTCCAACTTGGGCCATGTTCCATGATAGTACCCTATACACAATCCCTCACTCTCTCTTTATATACACAGTACCAGTGAAATTTTTTTGAAAACTTAAATTTCTCCAGATTTTATTACAAATGAACAATTTACAAATTAATAGCATAAACAATTAGAGAACCAATTGGCTATCTTTAGCACATGTAACAGCCAAACACACCTGCAGCATTTATTCTAAAATGGATATCAACACAGCTGCAAAAGTTCACACAAATGTGCTGCACTTGTAGGTTGCTTGGCTTTCACCTTTCTGCCCAGTTCATCGATGGAGTTTACATTAGGAGACTGTGCTGGCCACTGATTTGAAAATACTGTGGTAGGTTTTTTTGGTTCAGGGTGCCACTGACTGTGTAAATCACTGACTCTGGATCCAACAAAAGTCATTGTGAAATTCAATAATCCAGTAGTGCATTAGAACACATGATCCAATGCAAACCAGTGCCTCAGTATAGCAATAAGTAAGTGCCAGATTTGTTACCGTGCCCCATCTCAGTCTGCGCGTAGGTGCCAATAATCTCCAAGTTCCATGCTGGCATGAAGAAAGCTTCCAGTTGTGCAGGTGAGGATTGATTCAACAGCGTCGGCAGGAACATGCCCAAGTGCAGGTCAAGGGGCTCTGGACGCCCCCGGTGCACACAGCTTTGGTAGGGCAGGGTCAAAGTGAGTGAAGCATTAAAAAAAATAAAGGTGCAAAGAAGAGATAGAAAGGCGAGCAGAAATAGTAGAAAAGAGGAAGGATTATTAAGATATCAGAGAAACAAACATGGGATTAAATATGAAATTTCATGAAAAGGAGAAATCATTTCAGATGACATATACAGAGTAGATTAAAAATGTGGGTTTGTATGGATATAGATTAACAGGAATGGGATTAAAGATAATGGAAGAAAATGACAAAAACAAAAGGAGAGAAATCATTTAAGCAGGTCATACAGATTAAATAATGGATTTAATAATGACTTACAATTCTATTAATTAAAATAAATAAATAAACAATAAACTGGTGTAAAAGGTAACTGCATAAACTTTGTTCCTTAAAAGGATAGCTCTCTGACTTGGAAAGACATTAAACCTTCTAAAACCAAAGATCACACTGGTTTGATTAAAGATGCGTTTACACTTTGCTAGCATTGAGCCAGAGAGGAACTCGAGTTTTCAACCACATAATGTTTATTTTATGTTTCAGACATTTAAGTGGATAGTTGACCCAAAAATGAAAATTCTGTAATCATTTACTCACCCTTAAGTTGTTCCTAACCTGCAAGAGTTTCCTATTTCTGTTGACCACAAAAGAATATATTTTGAAGAATGTTGGCAACTTAACAGTTGATGGTAGCCACTGCATTCCTTAGCATGGAAGAAAAAAAAATACTATGGAAGTCAATGGCTTCCAGCAACTATTTGGTTACCAATATTCTTCAATATCTTCTTTTGTGATCAACAGAAGATAGAAACTCATACTTCATTTTTGGTCGAAGATATTTAAATCTAAATACACTTCAGTACTAGGGAAAACATTTATAAACACACTGATGTCTATGGAAGTGACAATAATAAACCTAACAACAAACAAAATGAATATAATTTAAAAAAAAATGTTAAGTCTCCTCCTTGTTCATCCAGCGACTCACTTTCATGTCTTTCGGGAGAAATTAATGAATTTACATCCTGTAAATCAGACTCTGACTGCATAGCAGCACACATAGGCTCTGATAACTTATCAATCAGCTAAAATCATTATTAAAAACAAACAATTATGATTTTTAAATCAAAAATCAAAGCTAATGTCAATAAAAAAAAAAAACACATATTACATATTTTAAATCAATGTACCTAATTGCTTAACTTTAAAAAAAGAATGTGAATTGACTACAAAGCATCACCAAGCATCAATGCAGCACCAGAAGTTGCATTAAGTAGGCTAGTTTTCAATTTACTCTTATTTACGTCCTGCATATTGGTCATGTACAAACTGTAAAGTTTAAGGAGTGACAACCACATTTAAAAACTGGAATGACAATACTGCAGGGGGTGAGCTCTCTGCTTTTTATAAAGCAGCTCCAAACAACAATTCCTCGGACACAGAAGATCCTCATCACCACTTTAGAGGATGGCACCACAAGCTGCTATTGTAAACTCACCAGTCACCTTCAACAGAATACAAACGTGTATCTACACTGGATACAACTAGTGTTGTTGTCTGGTTGCAGGTTTTGTGTGAAAAAAAAAAATGTGTAGTAGACGATTCATTTCCCCAAAAAAAACATTTAATTAGATTTTCAAATCTACAAAATGAAATAATTAATAGTTTATATACTTATAGTTTATATACTTTATATACTTGAAATTGAAATGAAAGTCAAACATATTTTAAAAACCTTCTTGATATAAATTTGTATAAATGTATTATAGCAATTAATAATCTGACAGTAATTTGGGCAAAGAGCACTAATGACTTACAAAACAATAACTTGATTCCACCTGTGGATAGTTCACCCAAAAATGAAAATTCTGTCATCATTTACTCACCCTCTAGTTGCTCCGAACTTGCTGTATGAGTTTCCTTCTTCTCTTGAACATAAAAGAAGATATGGGTAAAATGGGTAACCAAACTGTTGATGGCTGACACCCACAGAATGGAATAAAAAAATACCATGCATTTGGTTACACACATTCTTCAAAATATATTTCGGGTGAAGAAAGAAATTCATTCAGGTTTGGAACAACTTGAGGGTAAGTAAATGATGACAAAATGTAGGCAACAGACAAACCAGAATAGCACCTATCTCCTTATTGGTGAAAACTGCTGTCCCACAACCAAAAAACATATTTAAAAAGCATTTAAGTATTCAAATCTTAGATGTTTACTAAGATCCTATTATCTACTGATACTAAGATTCTATTATCTACTGAAACCCACAATAATATTTAAAATATCAGTAGGCTTAATCATTATAAAAGCATCATTTATTGGGTACTTTCAATTGGGAGGTGGCTGTTCAGAGGTGGACAAAGTACACAACTCCATTACTTGAGTGAAAGTACAGATACTGCTGGTCATATATTACTCCATTACAAGTGAAAGTTGTAAAGACAGATTTTTACTTAAGTAAAAGTAAAGAAGTACTTGTATTTAAAATACGTAAGTACCAAGAGTAAATTTCCTTTATGTCAACGCACATGTTTTATTATTGTTGTATGTAATACTTGCAATTCCTTATGCCTCTGAAACAACTTACAATACATTACGCCTACGGAATACACTGACTAGCTTGCAATATCCTTGGAATAAAGAGCTTTTAGAATGTTACAAACCAATAGAAATGAAACAAGTGAGTAGACCAAAAAAATAAATAAATAAATTATTTAACACCCCTACCCATCCAGCATGGTACCCAAGCAGCATGGTAGTGATCTCAGCAATACAACACAACTGTTGTATAACTCACAACCCAGCAACACAACTGTAGCTATATAACTTTACAACAGCAACACTGCTTTAACAAAACAACAAAACAGCAAGATCTATTTGACATCAATTCCAAAATTTTTAAATTGCTCTTGCGGTACTTTGATGTCATACACAGAATGGTCTGTGCAGTGCTGCTTAAAGTCAAATGCCTATTGTGTTTTGTTAGGAGATGCAGTTCTTCTGTGGCTTTATAGGTAATATTTTTGTTTACACAATTTTACAATATCAGACAATATTTTGTCTAATATATACACCACAATATTAACTAAATTAAATTGTTGTAAATAAATATGACATTTGCAAATGGTCAGTGTTCAAAAAATGCAGGGAAATCACTTCACGTAACCCTGCAAGAGTGATTACTGATAGGCTGTCCAAAAAAAAAAAAAAGTCAAATTTTAGAGAAAAAAAAAATCACCCACTGAATTTTAAAGATGCTACATAGTAACGACTTTCTACTTCAAGGACCTTGACAGAAATGTAGTGGAGTGAAAAGTATGATATTGGTCTTTAAAATGTAGTAAAGATAAAGTCATAAGTTTCCAGAAAATTAATACTCAAGTAAAGTACAGATACTCAAAATGTGTACTTAGGTACAGTACTCAAGTAAATGTACTTCGTTACTGTCCACCTCTGCCAGTTATTTCTATTTTTTCCTTTAGTGTGTCAGTAGGAAATATCAGTTTACATTTCCAAACATTCCTTTTGCCATTAATTGTAACAATCTAGTGAGATCTTTGTATACACAAGGAGTCTGACAACTGCCAGTGCTCCACACAGAGATCAGGGCCCGTATTTATCAAGCCTCTGAGAATTACTCTCAAGAACGCTGCTAAGAATTGACTTAAGTGTAAAAACCTTCTTGGCTCAAAGCTGCGCTTAAAAGTTAGTTATCAAGCATCTCAGTCGTAATTTAAGCGAAGTGTAGGACTAAATCTTAAGTATCAGTCTTAGAGTTGATTCACGACACTTTGCTGTGCCACGAATGGGAATTTTGGATGACGAAATATGCATGGACCAATCACTGAATAGATTTCCTTATTTAAGAATATTCTCAGATAAATTCACATTGAATGGTTAAATTCCTAATAGGAGATTACATTCAACACACATTTGACAATAAAGAATTTTCAAGAGAATACATTATGGTAAGGAAACGAATCGTCATCACAACCTTCAATTTAGGGTTGTGCCAGTAGACGATAGTATCATGTATCGACGATAGTCAGAGATATCGCCTGTGGCT